AGCATAAGAAGTTTCATAGACTACTGTATTACGCATATACTTATCGCATATACGTATTATGTTCATATTCACATTCTACATATGACTGCTGCTGCTAAAAAATGCTGTGCGGCCGCTCGTCTGTTTAAATGCTGACTGTGTCAGTGTCTGACACTCTCGTGTCAGTGGTGCAGCGGGGAGCTGGCGGCAGCTCTGACCGACTGCAGTCAGCTGACACAGCTTTGTCCGACAGGGCCGGAGGTGACGGAGCCGAGGTGGCCGGAACGGGACGAGGATGATGGTCTGTCAGTGTCGCTCCAGGGGGTGGCTGCCGACACCATCAGTCACCTGGCTGACCTGGGACGGACGGTCACACTACTGGAGATATACGGTGAGCAGCGGCAGCACGGACAGGCCGCTGATATGTACGAGCTCAGCGAATGGCGGACATCGAGTAACGGTGTGCCGGTGTCGCACCTCATGGAGACAGGTGTGATACATAGCCAATGTGCTTTGCGATATAATGAAGCTAACTGAGCTCCAAACAAAATAGAGGAGGACTGTTCACTCAGTGACATATTCGTTCAGAGTTAGTTGATCATACTCATAACAATTGTGTTGCACTGTTCAATGAAGTTCAATGCATTTGCTTAACATTGCAAATATCATATAATAGCACTGTTTTACCATTGTCTACTGTGTCCATGAAACCATGTGAATTATTAGGTGTTGTTTCGTTTTGTCATATATCGACATGTATTACAGCCAACTGATCCTGTCTGTATGTGTGTCTGTGTGTTTTCCAGACTGTCCTGATCTCACGGCCGGCAGCCTGGAGCCCCTCACCAGGTGCCCTGGGCTGCGATGCCTATCAGTCTCCGCCGCCGACCTTCCGCTACTGAGGGGGCAGCTGCCGGAGGACCTCTGGTACCTCAATGTCAGAGGTGATATAACGCAGTTCACAGTTCACACATGCAATACCGGTATATGCAAATAGACAGCGTTGATGGCAAATGGACGAACTGATCAGTCTCAACTAGCAAGTTTCATCGTTAATCGTGTATATTACTCGTATTGTGGTGAGAGGGGGAAGGGGTTCAATGCATGCCTTCGATAGTGTTCATGCTTGTGGCATATGCGTGGAATATTAGTGTAACGTCACGGGGTGATTTTTAAGTTGAGGTACTACTAGCAGTGGCGCAGCCAGGGGGGGGGGGTCAGAGGGTCAGCTGACCCCCCGAAATTTCTGTCAGGGGCCCGCTCGAGAGAGAGAGAGAGAGAGAGAGAGAGAGAGAGAGAGAGAGAGAGAGAGAGAGAGAGAGCGAGAGCGAGAGCGAGAGCGAGAGCGAGAGCGAGAGCGCGAGAGAGCGAGAGAGCGAGAGAGCGAGAGAGCGAGAGAGCGAGAGAGCGAGAGAGCGAGAGAGCGAGAGAGCGAGAGAGCGAGAGAGCGAGAGAGCGAGAGAGCGAGAGAGCGAGAGAGCGAGAGAGCGAGAGAGCGAGAGAGCGAGAGAGCGAGAGAGCGAGAGAGCGAGAGAGCGAGAGAGCGAGAGAGCGAGAGAGCGAGAGAGCGAGAGAGAGAGAGAGAGAGAGAGAGAGAGGAGAGAGAGAGAGAGAGAGAGAGAGAGAGAGAGAGAGAGAGAGAGAGAGAGAGAGAGAGAGAGAGAGAGAGAGAGAGAGAGGAGGGGGATGTCCTAATCTAATCGGACGAGCCCGTTTCGAGAAATACCTACTGGGACACCACGGGCCCCCGGGAGAACGGGCCCGGGCCCCCTGGGTGGATGGGACCCGGGCCCCCGATGGATGGTGTCCGGGCCCCCGGTGGATGGGTCCGGGTCCCCGGGAGAACGGGCCCCGAGCCCCGGGTGGACGGGGCCCGGACCCCCGGGAGAACGGGTCCGGGCCCCCAGGTGGATGGGGCTCGAGACCCCCGGTGGATGGGCCCGGGCCCCCGGGAGAACGGGCCCGGGCCCTCAGGAGAACGGGCCTGGGCCCCCTGGGTGGATGGGGCCCGGGCCCCCGGGAGAACGGGCCCGGGCCCTGGGTGGACGGGGCCCGGACCCCGGGTGGATTGGGCTCGGGCCCCCTGGTGAACGGACCCCGGAGCCCCGGGTGGACGGACCCCGGAGCCCCGGGTGGACGTGGTCCGGGCCCCCGTGTGGATAGGGCCCGGGCCCTCGGGTAAATGGGGCCCGCTAGGGTGACCCGCTTGCTCCGCAACGCGAATAAGGGGTATTTTCGATCGGTGGGCGTTTGGCTGCTATTGTGTCCGTACTCCGTGGGTTATGTACCTATCCGTTTCGGTCGATTGCCTTTTGACGGCTAAGTATTTTGGTTTGGGAAAAATATCCATCGCATCGAGGTGCTCGTGTCTGAAAACCATGCGTTCTTCTATAGAACATGCCAAGTGCATTTTATAACATAGGTTAAGGACGTAATTTATTAAGGACGTAAAGTTACCTATTGAAAAATGGAGGCCATCGATGAATTACTATGTAGAGGTTTGAAACATTTATATTTTTAAGAATATTGTTGCTCCTCATGCAAAAGCGATGATTTAGTTTTGATCACAGATGATGTCTTTATACATTTAGGCGAGGTCGGGTCAGGTAAGGTCAGGTCAACCAGTAGAGATCGTGACGGGTATTCGTAGTGCATACGCGTCAACCGCCTCTGACAGCTTCGTAACATGTTACGAAGGCACCAAAACTACTTCTTAAATGTTCAAATGGCTGCTAAATTCGAATTCAGCTAACAAAAACTAGCCTAGAAACATGCATAGCTTGAACAAGTGTAAACAAGTGTACTGAGGTCCTCATAGATCAATGACCTGATCTGACCTTCAGGTGACATTGACATCCACCCTTATGCATGGGAGCAACATCAAATCACATGTTTGAACGCTTGAAACCACGAAAGGACTGCAAACGCGCCGCTAATGCGAGCCGGCATACGCCGAACCGCGATTCTGGCCAAACATGGTCTCGGAAAGAAGGTCAAAGTTCATTTGGGTCAGGGTCATGAAAATTCTAGGATAGGTGTAAGATTGATCAACGCGAGGGTACTAAAAGTTACGTTACGATCAGCCGCTTTTTACGCGAGTAATTCGCGAAAAAAAAAACTTTAGCGGGTTGCATCAACCCCATCCCCCCTGTGCCGGCGAGGGTTAAAACTTCTTGTGAGCGAATTCACGTAATGAAGAAGAATAAGGGCACAATCTACTACAGCAGCCAATAGGTGACTTAGGACAGGCACATGGAACTAGTATCTTGTCCGACAGAAGCAGGCAACAGTTCCGATTGCATATAGGTATGCTATGCATATTGCGGAAGGGGCACATTTCGGCCTCGAAAGATACGAATTCTTACGTCATAGTAACATATTTCTGTCGTGGTCAATTTGCGTAAAGATTGAACACCGGGTGATTGCCGAGCTAATGTTCTATCCACATTTTCGTATTCGAACTCGCTCAGGGTTATCGTGCAGGTAAAGGGGGCCCGCTCAGCAGAATGTGTATGAAATATGAAGAGATTCTGAAAAATGGGTGGGGGCCCGCACACTAGGGGGCCCGCTTTGGAGGCGATGACCCCCCCGAAACAAAATCCTGGCTGCGCCACTGGGTACTAGCGATAGTTGCATTGTCACAAGCAGCAAATTTCCGAACAAACGTATTGAGCATTAATCGACAACTGACACTGACTGACTATTTAGATAGCTCGCTGACGACGAGTCTGAGCAGACTGACGGGACTGACTGGCCGCGGCCCTGGCGCGGCGGTTATACAGAATATAGGTGGCGCCACGATCGAAGGCGGCCAGCACGGGAATGCAGGCATTGTTACAATTCGTGAGCAGTTATTTCCAATGAGCCGAGGGATGATTATAGACTCAGAGCAACCAATGAGAGTAGTATAAGTAGTTTCATAGACTATTGTATTACGCATATACTTATCGCATATACATATTATGTTCATATTCACATTATACATACCTACATTTGACTGCTGGTGCTAAAAATTGCTGTGCGGCCGCTCGTCTGTTTCAGTGCTGACTATGTCAGTGTCTGACACTCTGGTGTCAGTGGTGCAGCGGGGAGCTGGCGGCAGCTCTGTCCGACTGCAGTCAGCTGACACAGCTCTGTCCGACAGGGCCGGAGGTGACGGAGCCGAGGTGGCCGGAACGGTACCCGTCGGATGGTCTGTCAGTGTCATTCCAGGGGGTGGCTGCCGACACCATCAGTCACCTGGCTGACCTGGGACGGACGGTCACACTACTGGAGATATACGGTGAGCAGCAGCAGCACATACAGGCCGCTGATATACGAGCTCAGCGAATGGCGGACACCGAGTAACGGTGTGCCGGTGTCGGACCTCATGGAGACAGGTGTGATTCATAGCCAATGTGCTTTGTGAAATAATGAAGCCAACTGAGCTCCTCCGAGGAGGACTGTACGATCAGTGACATATTCGCTCATAGTTAGTTGAACATACCTACATATTGCGATTGAAATGCAATGTTTGGTGCACTTCAATGCATTGGCTGAACTGATTGCATATCCATAGATAACATGAACATTCATGTTATCATGTTCATTCATTCATGTTATCACATTCATTCATGTTTATTTGGCATATCATATAGAACCACTGTTATATCATCTTCTGTGTCCATAAAACCATGCGAATTCATAGCTGTTTCGTTTTTTCCATATATCGCCAATCGCCATGTATTACAGCTAACTGATCGTGTCTGTATGTGTGTCTGCGTGTTTTCCAGACTGTCCTGATCTCACGGCCGGCAGCCTGGAGCCCCTCACCAGGTGCCCCGAGCTGCACTGGCTCACCCTGTCCGGCGGCGTCCCTGACGCCGTGAGCCTGGAGCCCCTCACCAGGTGCCGTGGGCTGCTCAGTATCACCCTGTCCGGCGGCGTCCCTGACACCGTGAGCCTGGAGCCCCTCACCAGGTGCCCTAAGCTGCACTGGCTCACCCTGTCCGGCGGCGTCCCTGACACCGTGAGCCTGGAGCCCCTCACCAGGTGCCCTAAGCTGGAGAGTCTCACCCTGTCCGGCGGCGTCCCTGACACCGTGAGCCTGGAGCCCCTCACCAGGTGCCCTGAGCTGGAGAGTCTCACCCTGTCCGGCGGCGTTCCTGACGCCGTGCTGGACAGTCTCAGCGGCTGCCCCGGCCTGGAGTACCTTACACTGGGGGACTGCCAGCGGCCGGCAGAGACGGCCTTCACAGCAGTAGCGGTCACCAGGTCAGTCAGCAGACACTGGCGAGGGGTGTCCTGTCAGACACTGACACTGACAAACTGACACACTGACACTGACACACTGACACTGACACGCTGACACTGACACACTGACACTGGCACACTGACACTGGCACACTGACACTGGCACTGACACTGACACACTGACACACTAACACTGACACACTGACACACTGACACTGACACACTGAGACTGACACACTGACACTGACACACTGACACCGACACACTGACACTGACACACTGACACTGACACTGACACACTGACACTGACACCAACACACCGACACTGAACTACTGACACTGACACTGACTCGTACGTCTGGCCGGCTGGTGCCGCTGTGTTTGTGTGTGACGGCTCTGCTGCTCTGCTCTGTTACAGACTGGTGAAGTCGTGTCGGAAGCTGTGCCATCTGTTCCTTCACTGCACGGCAGACACCGGCCGGGCCGTGCTGACCGCCCTGAAGGAGGCGGACCTGGGCTGGTACAGTGATGGCCGGCCCCGTACCATCCGGCTCCGTGTCCCCGGTAGGTGAGAGGGCGCCGCGCGCCGCGCCTCTGACCAGTCAGTCCCTCACAACAGACGCTGCACGGCGCCACCGGCCTCTCAGACACACACACTCGACCAACGCCGCAGGCCACGTCACGGACGGTGACGTGACGCGTCACGGCCACCACGGCCGACGGTGACGTCACGTCAGCCGTCTGTCCTGTGTGTGTGTGACGTCACTGGCCGGCGGTGTGTGGTCATGGCTGTACCGCTGTCTGTGTGTCTGTCTGTGTGTGAGGTGTCCACCTCAGACGTGTCTCTGCTCTGTCCACAGTGGAGCTGTACCGTCAGCTGAAGAGCCAGGAAGGCGATGGGGTTAGAGTGTCTCCGTGGTGCTGATTGATGCGCTGCACTACCGACCGTGCAGTGATGAGCTGACTGCAGAGAGGCCGAGCCAGTCGGCCGGGGCCGCCAGCTGACTGCTGCCGTGTGTGCTGCACCAGCCGGCACTGAAAGCGGCGCCGGTCAGCCGGCACACGGCCCCGGTGTCCGCTCTAGTGTAGTCATGTAGTTGTAGTAGTAGTAGTGTAGATGTAGTAGTAGCACACGGATGTGATGTAGTGGGTAATTACCGGGCGGGTATTGTGGGTAATTGGACAGTGAAAGGTGATGTAGTGGGTAATTACCAGGTGGGTATTGTGGGTAATTGGCTGGAACGATTTGATCTAGCGGGTAATAACCGGGTGGGTGTTGTGGGTAGTTGGCTGGAAGGATGTGACCTGGTGGGTAATTACCGGTTGGGTATTGTGGATAATTGGACAGTGAAAAGTGATGTGCTGGAGAGACTACCGATCGTGGCATTACGCTATTCTGTATGTAGAACACACGTCTCTGACGGTCCGACTCGGTTCACCGCGCCTGGTCCCGGCGGCACGGCCGGCCTCGGTCACGTGACCGTCCCCCGGTGGAGTCGGACGGCTCGGTCACGTGACCGCTCCCCCCGGGTCTGGCTGCACCTCGGCTCGGCGGTGCTGAGCGCCGTGCTGAGCGTGTTGTGACACGTCCCACACGGACAGCTCTACTCGACTACTGGCTAGCTGCCGTCCGAGCTGGCAGTATACACGCGGTGCCAGTTCAGACGGCGGCCGGCCGCGCCGCGCCCGCCCGCTCCGGTCCCGGCCGGCGGCCGTCACCCGGCCCGGGGCGGGGACCGGTCCGTCAGCTGACCATTGGTCCGTCAGCTGACCATTGGTCAGTCAGCTGATTGATCAGTCAGCTGATTGGTCCGTCAGCTGATTGGTCCGTCAGCTGATTGGTCCGTCAGCCGTCCCGCCCTCTACCGGCGGAGCGCGGCGCACGCCGAGACTCGAGACGTCAAACACGATGTATATAGGTTTAGGCTGGGTTTAGGTTTAATTGGAGTGTCTTGTGTAGACCCTATGTCTATTCTACTCTATATCTACCTACTATATATACACGAGAGGAGTTGCTTGAGCTGTATCATATATGTAGCCTTCAATAAACCAATGAGCAGTGTGCCGAGTGTTTGTCCGGCTGCACCGTCCGCCCCGCTCCACTGTGAACCGTCATTTTCCGCCCCGCCCCGCGCGGTCACAGACAGTCCGCCCCGGCGGAGCGGAGCGGCAGTCTCCGTACACCGTCTCCGTACCCGTCATATACGGACCGTACAGCAGCCGTACACACTGCAGACACTGCAATGACACACACACGGACAGACACGGAGATAACTCGACACGGACATACACGGAGACACGGACACACACGGAGATACCTCGACACGGACACACACGGTCCCCGGCTTCTGCCCGGCCATATCCACTCGAGCTACAGCGATACAGGTGATGAGTGAAAGTCAGAACTACTCGACTGATGTGGTATTATAACCAGCACCAAGTCCCCCCGTCCCGGCCATACAGCGGTGCGGCGCGGCTGCAGAGCTGTCTGCCGACTGGTGCGGTGCCGCCGGCCGTGGCCGCTCGTCTGTCGGCGGCCCGGACTGCAGCCGGTGGCCGAGCTGCCGGTCCCGGCGACTCGCTGCCGGCTGGGCTGACCGCCGTCAGTCACCTGAGCGGTGCTGGCCGGCCCGAGCCGGGACTGCGGCGCGCCGCGGCACCTCAGCGACGCACCCTCTGGGACACTGAGCGGCGCGCACCGGTGGGACTGTCCCTGCCGACTGTCCCTACCCCATGAGTGGGACCGGTGGGACTGTCTCTGCCGACTGTCCCTACCCCATGAGTGGGACCGGTGGGACTGTCTCTGCCGACTGTCCCTACCCCATGAGTGGGACCGGTGGGACTGTCCCTGCCGACTGTCCCTACCCCATGAGTGGGACCGGTGGGACTGTTTCTGCCGACTGTCCCTACCCCATGAGTGGGACCGGTGGGACTGTCCCTGCCGACTGTCCCTACCCCATGAGTGGGACCGGTGGGACTGTTTCTGCCGACTGTCCCTAACCCATGAGTGGGACCGGTGGGACTGTCTCTGCCGACTGTCCCTACCACATGAGTGGGACCGGTGGGACTGTCTCTGCCGACTGTCCCTACCCCATGAGTGGGACCGGTGGGACTGTCCCTGCCGACTGTCCCTACCCCATGAGTGGGACCGGTGGGACTGTCTCTGCCGACTGTCCCTAACCCATGAGTGGGACCGGTGGAACTGTCTCTGCCGACTGTCCCTACCCCATGAGTGGGACCGGTGGGACTGTCTCTGCCGACTGTCCCTACCCCATGAGTGGGACCGGTGGGACTGTCTCTGCCGACTGTCCCTACCCCATGAGTGGGACCGGTGGGACTGTCTCTGCCGACTGTCCCTACCCCATGAGTGGGACCGGTGGGACTGTCTCTGCCGACTGTCCCTACCCCATGAGTGGGACCGGTGGGACTGTCTCTGCCGACTGTCCCTACCCCATGAGTGGGACCGGTGGGACTGTCTCTACCGACTGTTCCTACCCCATGAGTGGGACCGGTGGGACTGTCTCTGCCGACTGTCCCTACCCCATGAGTGGGACCGGTGGGACTGTCTCTGCCGACTGTCCCTACCCTATATGTGAGTGTCCGTTTCTGCGGCGGCCGCTGAGCCCCCAACCCTGTCCTTCTCCTCTCCCCAGTCCGCTGTGCAGGGTCGCTCGAGGTCACGTGGTCAACTGGGTGTCTTCTCCAATGCACCTTGTATTCGTCGATCGACCTTACACACCACCGTGCAGTCACATGACTACGACCCGACTCCCCTCCGTGCCGTCCGACGCGCCGGCATGGCCCCACAACTGGGACAAACGGCCGCCGGGGACGCTCCCATGTCCGATGTTCGTCTCCGTCCACACCGGAGAGGACAGGGCAGGCGGCGGCCGGCCGACGCTGCCCGCGGCGCCGAGGTGACAGCCTCAGACCTCTCTGCTCCCAGTACGCTACACTGGTCAGGTCGGGCCGGCGGCGGCGTGCCATCGGCCGCCGGCCAGCCGGCCTCCCCGTACTGACCACTCACTCACATACAACACACACCCCTGTTTATCGAGAAACATACACAACATACGCTCTGAACTATGTAATCAGCAGTCACCAACGAATAACGATGGTCTTCCATAACTCAACAGTCTCAAATGTCCCGCCCGCCCCCTGATCATCCACCGGTGCCGTGCCAGTGGTCGGTCGGGGCTCGACCGGTGGTCGGTCGGCAGACAGACCGACCGGTCACCGCCAGGTCACGGCCGGCCCACTGACAAGCACGCCGTGCCGCCGCCGGGGCCGTGGCCGTGCTCCGGCCGTGCCCTGACCGGGCTCACCGGCTCTGACCCACCGGCCTCAGAGATCTGACACCAACTACCGGCTGGACGAGCCGCCGAGCGGCCTGCCGACCGACCGCTCCCGTATGGCAGCGGGCCGCCGCCAGCTGCACCACCCGACACCGACAACAAGCACCGACACACTGTCACAGCACATCCAGCAGCCGGCTTGTCTCGCTGTCAACCACGGGCACTCGCCTGTCCATCAACGCACTCACAAAATCAACTAATCACCCTCGCATGTCCAGATACACACTCATAAAATCAACTAATCACCCTCGTATGTCCATCAACGCACTCATAAAATCAACTAATTACCCTCGCCTGCCCATCAATGCACTCACAAAAATCAACTTATCATCCTCTCCTGTCCAACGCACTTACAAAATCAAACAATCACCTCTCGTCAAATACACACAAAATAATACCGAGCTCACAACCATTCCCGTATTTATCGGAAAATCCCACCACAGCAGTCACCCCGTTGCCGTCGTGTAGCCTTTCCGTTGCAGTGCGGGACGATTGTCAGCCCCCGTCCCTGCTGTGGCCGGCGGGCGGCTCCAGCACAGCGGCGAGCGTTACTGGCTGCAGCCGGTGTGTCCGTGCCCACAGCCGGGTGCAGCTGTTGGAGGCCGTGTTGGAGGCCAGTGTGACGTCACACCGTCGTGCCGTCCCAGTCCGTGTCAGTGTCGGAGTGACAGTGGTCTATATATATATATATACAGTGTCAGCTGTGTCCAGCTGCTGGTGCTCCGACTGTCAGCTGAACTGACACACTGACACTGCAGCCCCTGACAGTGTCAGACCGGCCCCCGGTCAGTGTCAGCTGCCGGCACGGAGAGCGGTCCGGTGACACTCCCAGCTGCAGCCCCCTCCCCGTGGCTGGTGCCGCTGCAGTCTTATTGTGCCGGTGGTCAGCTCCGGCAGAATCCACCACAAACAGCTGCCGTCACTCCTCTGCCGCCGCTCCGACACTCTATTCCGGCAGCCGGGCACCAAACAGCTGCAGTGGCTAGCAGTGCATTCACTCCACATGGACACACCGCTCGGAACGTCTCGCCAGACGGACCCGTCTCGGCCGGAGGGGGGGTGAGGGGGGGGGGCGCGGCGAAGGCGGCCAGAAAACGGCGCAGCCGAAGCCAACCAGCAGACGCCTCTGTGGCACACGCGCCAAGCACAGACCAATCAGCAGACGCAACTGCGGCACACGCGCCACGCACAGACCAATCAGCAGACGCCACTGCGGCACGCGCTCCACGCACAGACCAATCAGCAGACGCAACTGCGGCACACGCGTTACGCACAGACCAATCAGCAGACGCCTCTGCGGCTCTCGTGTTACGCACAGACCAATCAGCAGCGCCTCCCGCGACTGGCTCCGACCGGCCGCTGGAAAATGGCCGTAGAAAAGAGGCACACCCACCGACACCTTAGGGCTGGTCAGTGGCGTTCGGTGGCGTGGTGGCCGCACGGCACGGGATGGGTCCGTGATGACATGTCGTGGATGAGACGGTCTCCGAGACACCCGGGAAATCTGACGACCCAGCCGTCCCCAGCCGGTACGTCCCCAGCCAATACGTCCCCAGCCGTCCCCAGCCGGTACGTCCCCAGCCGGTACGTTTCCCATTGATACAAAGGTAGTTTGAACAGCTACTTTTTTGTTCGTTTGGAAATACATTGTTTGGATATGCAAAATGACATGATTCGGTGTAAAATGTCACGGTCCCTGCAATACTCAGTACCTATCACTTCGCTGTAAGTCCGACATAACGCTGTAGGTGTGTCAGATTCTTCTCAATGCCAGAGCGTTTTTTTTTTTCCTAATGCGAGCGGCCAGGAGGTGGGGGGTATGACCCCCTGGCGATTGACTTATATGACATCTAGAAACACGATATTTAAAGGGTAGGTACTAGGTGGACCAATAAAAATGTCCCTCCTGTACAACATTGGTAAACCTAGGTGTTAGCATGCAAATACGTTGGTATTTTTAGGTATTTTCGCAAAGACGGCCGGCGCTCGGAGCGCGGCGGTCGGTCCGCCGCGCCGCGCCGGGCACATATGTGTCATCTGGCCCCTGTCCTGGTTCTCAGGCCCACGTGTTGTGCTACCACGAGGGCTGAGACGGGACGGGGGCCCGACAGTCTTCGACGGGACTCCACCGGTGCGCGACGGCCGGTGCACGACGTGGCCGACGTGGCCTTACGTACGACGCGGCCGACGTGGCCCTACGAGAACGATTCAGTGAACGGCATTTGTGACCGCCGTATTTTGTGCATTTTAACCCTTCCATTTCATTCAAGAAAAGAATTTTACTTATTTATGTATAAAAGCTTTTCATTCCCCCCCCCCCTCCCGCTTAACCCGCGCACCGACGGGGGTCTGCGCCAACTTCGTACCGACGGGGGGGCGGATGACCGCCCCCCCCCCTGAGATCTCGAGAACGGAGCAAGATAGCGACAAGCGGTAAACGGCATCGGATACGCACGGTCAATGTCTACAATTTTTACAATGGTCATTTTCAGGTCAGGTCAAAGATGACGTCACAGGGGTCGAAAAAGTCAAAATGGCGGCGCTTGATATGGAGAGAGTTGTTCTCGAATAACTTTCGAATTAGATTAGTCAAGGTAGGAACAAACTAAGTGCATCATCGTGATCCTCTCGTCAATCCGCATCGAATGATATATATGTTGACCTCGAAAAGGTCAAGGTCAAAGGTTTACCTCAGGTCACGTGACCTCGAGGTCATCATGTTTATCATTCGATGCGTCTTGACGAGCTGAACACCATGAGACCATCCGCGCGGCTGTATCTTGTTCCTGTACGGAGTTATGGGCAAAAAGACCGCTGGTGACATTTTGACATGAAGAGAGGATAGAGGAGCAGCTGTACGAAATTCAGGCTTCTAGCTCTAACAATGTGGAGTGCAGAGCAGAAAGACTACCTGGGGGGGGGGGGGGGGGGGTGGAGGTTGGGTACCACCCCCCCATGTGCGGGCGAGGCTTAATCAATCTCCCCCTCCCCAACCCCTGACCGGGCGAGGGATGAGATGTAGGTCTGAACTCTCCATTTTGTCGAGATATCCACTGAGATCATAAATCCGCCTCTTACATCCCTGCACAGTGCACATGTCTGCTGCTCACTATGGTTTATACTACCGAGCTGCACGGGGTGTCCGGAGGGATGGGGGAGTTCCAGACGGCCGGGGAGGGGTGAAGGGGGGGAGGCTGCTGCACCGCCATCCGGCCCGTGTTATCACGAAACCATGGTGGCTTTCCGCTGACGTCATCAGTCTGGAACGCCGCGCCGCCAGCTCACTGGACACGCTAGAGTCTCCTCGCTACGGGACAAGGCCCATTGGAACCCGGACATCCAAGTACTTGACGAATGTAGAGAGTTCCCATTTTATTTTATTGTTGTTGCTGACTAGCCTTTACGAGGCAACAGTCCACTTTGATCAACAGTGTTCCATGAACGCCCCGGCTCGCCATTAGTTACAGTACGACACCGGTGACCGGTAGGGGCGCTGCAGTCGCCCAGCGGCCCGAGGTCGGCCGTAGGGGAGAGCGGGGCCAGTTGAACCACTTTTTATATATTGACATGCACAGCGAGATCTAGTCTTCATATCGAAAAATGCACAATGCTATGAAAAAATATGCTCTTTTGGCTTTATTTTAAGATATGTAAAATTATGTTTCAAACATATTTTGCTGCCAAACGCATGCTTATAAAACAGCTCTACGCCCGTTTCAAATGACCCCGATGCGAGGGTCAATTGAACCAGCCCATGGGGTCAATTGCACCTATCCTTAACAATGGGATGTTTTCCTCTTTAACCCGCGACCTGGTGGGGGGGGCTATTTTTTGCCCCCCCTCCAGACTTTTCGATATATCTCCAGAACCACTGCGCCGATCGTCACCAAACTTTCAGTACCCTCCCGGACATCAATTTTACACATTGTGACCAAAAATTTTTCCAAAGGCTATGATAGGTTGGCCGGAAATGACGTCAGAGTGACGTCATGTTCTGCCGTTTTCGACCCAAAAAAGGGTTTCGCGGGAAGAGCTGTCAGGCCTATAGCTTTGCAAATACAGAAAAATGATACAGACATAAAAGCTGTAGAATGAACAGGGCTACAAAACTGCTATCTCGGATTTTTGAAATTTTTGGATTTTGACCCCCAAAAATCAAAAAATAGATTTTTTGAATATAATAGCCAAAAAATCCAAAAAGTTTTTTGAATTTCGAAAAAACCGGAATATATGTGATAGTCCTTACCGCCTTCTATCTACATACCAAATTTGAGATCGATACCTCTTTTTTTGGCCAAGTTATAGCGAAAAAAACTGTTCAAAATTGATGACGTCAAATTTTCAAACTCAATTTTCAGCAATTCTAGACCTCGTAGCGCAAAACAAAGACCACCATTAGACTCCCCGTGACGAGCTGCATCGAATCAATACCCATTTTATGCAAAAATATCAACTTTGAAATTTGACCTTTTTTGACCTGACCTTGACCTGACCTCCACCAGAAAGTGACCTAAACCGTACCTGATGGTCTTATAACCAACGCCATTGAGTTGGAAATGAAAAACTGGCCATAAAACATGCATCGCATAACCTTAGTAAAGTTGGGTTCATGTGGTGACCCTTGGTGACCTTTGGTGACCTGACCTGTGACCTGACCTGGTATGACCAGTGACCTCTAACAGCAACATATCTACTAGGCAACTGACGCCCTATCGCTGATTCCCGACAAAATGCGTTTTCCCCGGTGTTATAGCGCATTCCCTAGAAGACCCGTGAACGGTGAAACATTTCATCTTTGACCTGACCTGTGACGTCATCGGTGACCGCGAGGTCAATAAAATTTGGTTTCCCTCGACAAATTTGACAGGCCTTTCGAACGCCGTTTGAATTTTTCGGATCCGTCCAGTAGTTTCGGAGATACGAGGGGGGGCAAAAAATAGCCCCCCCCCCCCACCAGGTCGCGTTATAAACAGACCCCACCAGGGCGCGGGTTAACCCGCGCACCGACGGGGGGGGCGGATATCCGCCCCCCCCTGAGGTTTTTCGCGGATAGCGGGAAAACCGCGGCGCGTAGCGCCGCGAAATTTCGTATGACTATTCTCTCATCAATTTTACACATGGTGTGCAAGTTTGAACCTCCTAACTTTTAAGGTCAGGTCACCAGGTCACTTTGAATGACCCAACCTCAAGTCACTTTTTTGCAACTTTGTCACCGTGTCAGAGCTACAGTAGATGTCGGAGGCCTTTGAAAGTCGCAGGATGTTATTAGGTCATTAGTAGCTACAATTTGTATATCTCGGAATTTTGATGTCGGTGACCTAAGGTCAGGTCAATTTCGCGACCTCCCCATTGTAAGTCAATGGGGGAAAATTCAACTCCCTGTTTTTACCACTAAAATGGGTCGGAATGGCCCCATATACCATACATGACTTCACATACGATCAACCTTCACTACCTTGAGGTCTGTTTTGCTGTTTGGCAGTTGTAAGGTCATGTGACGTCATCAAAGGTCACCAAAGGTTTTTTGCCAATAACTCCTTACAGGAACAAGATACAGCCGCGCGGATGGTCTCATTGTGTTCAGCTCGTCAAGACGCATCGAATGATATACATGATGACCTCGAGGTCACGTGACCTGAGGTCAACCTTTGACCTTGACCTTTCGAGGTCAACATATATCATTCGATGCGGATTGACGAGAGGATCACGATGATGCCCTTAGTTTGTTCCTATCTTGACTACTTCGAAAGTTATTCGAGAAAAACCCTCTCCATATCTAGCGCCGCCATTTTGACTTTTTCGACCCCTGTGACGTCATCTTTGACCTGACCTGAAAATGACCTGTGTAAAAATTGTAGACCTTGTCCGTGCGTATCCGATGCCGTTTACCGCTTGTCGCTATCTTGCTTCGTTCTCGAGATCTCAGGGGGGGGGGCGGTCATCCGCCCCCCCCCCCGTCGGTACTAAGTTGGCGCAGACCCCCGTCGGTGCGCGGGTTAAGGCCACTTTCTTAAGGAGATATTTTGTCCGGTTTACTTTTCCAAATGCTAGATTCAATAGGTCGTTGGAAAGCTAAAAGTGCAAAGTTCCTCATAATAGGTGACATAAAGTACATAGACTGTGGCAAAATGGGCGGATGAGGAAAATGAGAAATATCTCAGGCTATAGTGTGCTTTCAAGCAAAAGACTGGAGAAAATGGGGTCAAAAATCGAGATCTATTAAACTACTATTTCAGTTTAAAAGCTCATTTTAAATGTGGACTATTTCCCTTAATGTTTACAGCCCCTGAACAATAACCATTGCAAAGGTCACCGGGGTCCATTGAAACGGCCTGTGGCCCTGTTTCAACTGACCCTCAGAAAAGCGTTTCAATTGACCCCATCCGCTCCCGCCATCTCGCACGCGCCGTAAAGCACATGTCAAACGAGCTGGAGGGACGGCATCATGCTGAATGAAGGGCCAAATAAGGTGTTATTCCGGAGCCAGGAGTTCTTCTTTCAGCAAACAAAGGTATATGAGATATCACAAAATATTCATGAAAACGATTTCTCCCAAACGCCCCTCAAAAACACAAAAACAAGTGTCAAATCAAAATTACCGTCCGTTTGCCGCCCAAACGCCGTTAACAAATGAAGTGGTCGAGCGCGGATGCGCAGTGGTGTCGGCAACGCCATATGTTGCATACTGTTGAAAATAAAGCCATGTTTCATCTGACCCCGTGTTTCAACTGGCCCCGCTCTCCCCTAACCAGTACCATGACTCAGCGGCGCCCCGCCCCGGGGTAATTACATACTGCGCAGTTGCAGCGGTCCAGACCGGGACAAAGGCCGACGGAGGAGCGGGAGCTGCACTGCGTCCACCGGCCGGGTCAGTCGACAGAGCGGGTGGTCCAACAGTGTGTGGACGGTACTGAGCTCTGTCCACCGGAGCCGACCACGGCGGAGGCGGCGAATATCAGGTGAGCAGGACCGACCTGTGTGTGTGTGAGGGGGGGGGGGGGGTCTGTGTGTCCCTGTGTCTGTTGTTGAGTGTGTTTTGTGCGTCTGTGTCTATAGTCAGACAACATGTGTTTTTGTAACGGTTTGTATGTGATTCTGTGATTCTTTGTGTGTCTTCTCTGCGTGCTAGATACCCGTCTGAGTGTTTGGATGTCTGTGCTTACATCAACATGCACCCTCGCCCGCACATGCTATTTTCCCATCCTAGAACGCACATGGGGGGGGGGGTTGCCACCCCCCTGCGCCATTTCGCTCCTGTTGGAGATAGAGCTTAGCGGTAAGACCAAAAAGATTCTTTGGGAAGAGACAAATCCAATGATACCCAGTTTTACCTTCTCAGGTCAGTCATTGACCTTCCTGGTCAGGTCAAACTAAAAAATGTTGCTGTTTTGGGTCACCCTTGGATATCAAGTGCGCTGCTTATCATATACCGATGACGATGCCGTTTTCTGGTGCCAATCCAGCTAGAACCTCTTTATCCCGGCAGTTGCTACTTGCTGGGGTATTTCGCCACCCACCGTTTGCTGGGGGGGGGGGGGGGGGCGTTAAACGCCCCCAGCCGATAACTCGAGAACCAATAGGCGCAGCGAAACGCACGAGGCGGCAAACGAAAGAGCGCGACGAGACGCTTCAGATGAGTACTTTAAAGTTGAATTTTGAGGTCACAGGTCGGGTCAAGGTCAGGTCAAACACCTGAAATCGGGCTTTCAGTAGCATGGACTTCAGGACTTCGCAATGGGCGCCTCTCGTCATAAACTCTGTCCACACGGTGCACAATCCATCATATAAGGCCTACAAGAGTGTCAGCTCCATGTAGGGGTCAGTCAAGCATAGGTCAGGGTCAAGGTCAGGTCAACCGGGTAGGCACATATCCCCGAAAATCAAAACTGATATTCGCAGCCTGTGACACATGTTTTATAGGTAATTTGGGGCGTAGAACACGATGGTGACATTCAGTGACGTACCCAAGGGGGGGGGGGGCACGGGGGCCATGGCCCCCTCCTGAGCGCCGAAGGCGCTCAGGGGGCCCCTCAGGCCCCGGTATATTTTTTCAAACACTAGATAAAACGTCTTTTACTAGGAAGAAAAAATGATATCAAAGTTTCATTTATGTGCCCCTGGTTACCCGAGGGGCCCCTGATGACCCAATGGGCCCCTGCAGTCATCCGAGGGCCTCCGGTTTCCTGGCCCCTGGTCGCCTTGGGGGCCCCTGGTAGCCGGGGCCTGGTCGCATGGGGGCCTCTGGTCGCATGGGCCCCTGATCGCCTGGGGCCCCTAGTCGCCAAGGGGGCCCCTGGTAGCGGGGCCTGGTCGCATGGGGCCCCTGGTCGCCTGGGCGGCCTGGGGCCTCCCGGGTGACCTAAGGGCCCCTTCGGAAGAAGGTGGCCCCCTCCTGGGCGAAGTCCTGGGTACGTGCCTGGTGACATTCATTATATCATATGTGTACGTGTTTGGCTCAAAAAGTTCAATTTAAGAAATGCATGTATCATGGTCGTGAAGCAGTCACGAAAAATTGCCAAGATTCAATTCAAGATTATGGAAAATGCGGAGCGATAATCAATAATCGAAGACAGCCATTTGATTTATCATGGTATTGGCAGTCTAATGGCGTTTACGGCATGTCTTTATGTCTATTTTGTGATTTTATATGATTTTTTTAACATATGCCATTTTTGGTCGAAAACTCAGAAATAATGACGTCACTAAAACCTCAAAATCTAAAAAAATTTTGACCGATTTTTTTTAAACTTTGTCACAATAAACTTCAATCAATTCCCTACAGGTACCCAAAATTTTGCGCGCCTGCGGCGCGCCGTTTTTATGCTATGGCCCGGCAAAAAAAGTGGGGGCGTTTAACGCCCCCCAGCAACTCGCGGGTTATCACACTACCCGACCATATTTTTGCTGCTGAGGATATTTCAGGTCAAGCTAGGTCAAGGTCAATTATATGTGTTTGTATGTCTGTGTGTGTCTGTGTGTATACTGATGTGTGGAACGATTGTTTTTGTGTCCATATTACATGAAATCATGATCTGAGAAGCTTTTACCAAAAATGCAGTCCGTTATGCGCCAAACTCCATATAGAAGCGGACATTGGGGTTCAGATTGTTATTATGAGTAAAATATAAGTCATTTTCTTCAATAAACGGTTGTTTCTCTATGCGGCGATCATTTATGAAGCACGCCACACTTAGTTACCAACGAGCGATATCATAATAGCTCCATTTTTGGCAGTATACTGGCTGCGGCCGAGTGCGACGGTGGCGCCGACTATCGGCTACTCGTGCAACTAGGCCTCGCGGTGGCTCCGGCGGCCAAACTTCAGATGAAAACGTCCCTGTGTGGAGACTTAACGATAAGCTGAAAAATGCGATATAATGCAATTAAATTCAGTAATATGCGTTTACCCTGACGTATTTTTTACCAATATTCGGGGAGAATTGGCACCGGGATTTGGCAGGAGAAGATAAAATGTTTATGAACATTCCAAATTGTATTATACCTACATTGCATTGTCAAAATATGTCTCAATATATGCGAGACGTCATGCTGTTTGCCGTAGTATAGCGAAATTGTTTCATGAAAGACTCAATACAAATATAACGGGAGTGATGTATCTTAATTACATTTGGTGGTGCAAATATTTTTTTCTTCCATGTCCCGATCCCGGGTCGAATTTTTCTCTCCTATGGATAAAAAGTGCAGAGATGTGTTGCTCAGTTAGTGAGCTACAGCGTAGTATAGCGACATTTTTATGTAAGCTGCCTATTTTTTCATACTGTGCTAGTTTCCACGAAAATCCGTGCATACACTGACCAATATTTTTTTCTTCCATGGCCAGATCCCAGGTCCAATTTTTATCCGCTATGGATAAAAAATGCATAAATATGTTGCTCAGATGGTAATCTACAGCGTAGTATAGCGACATTTTTATGTAACTACCCTATTTTTTCATACTGTGCTCATTTCCACGAAAATCCGTGCTTACGCTGACCAACATTTTTCTCTTCCATGGCCAGATCCCAGGTCCAATTTTTATCCGTCATGGATAACAAATACATAGATATGTTGCTCAGATAGTGAACTACAACGTAGTATAGCGACATTTTTATGTAACTTCCCTATTTTCTCACACTGTGCTCATTTCCACGAAAATCCGTGCTTACACTGACCAACATTTTTTTCTTCCATGGCCAGATCCCAGGTCCAATTTTTATCCGCCATGGATAAAAATACATAAATATGTCGCTCAGATGGTGAACTATACCGTAGTATAGCGACATTTTCATGTAACTTTCCTATTTTTTCACACTGCGCTATCACCCATCAAAATCCGTGCTCTCACCGACCTTAGTTCTCTGGCGTTGCCGATAGGCGGCGCTGGCGTCGCGTCCCGCGCTATGGCCGCGCCTGGCGCATAACGCAAAAAACTTCACAAAAAGTAAATTCAGCTTGCCTAAAACGCAATTACCTTAGATGACCTAGGTTGACCTTGACCCTGACCTTGACACCTGTACATCGTCGAACAACATGTTCCATGATAGGTGGGCGGTAAGACTGGCAAAAAAAGACCGAAATCAAGGGGTCAAAAGCTCACAAGGCCCATAGCAAACGCAAGATGTTGAGAATTGGCCATTTGGGTCATGATATGACCTGAAAAACAAGGTCATATCTCCGAAACCGAAAATCACAGAAACCTGAAATTTTTAGTTGACATCAAGAAAGGATAGAGGAGCAGCTAGCTATACGAAAAATCAGCCTTCTAGCTCTAAAAGTGTCGAGTGCAGAGCAGAGAGACTACCTGGGGGGTGGCAACCCTTCCCCCCATGTGCGGGCGAGGGTTAAAGGGACCCTCCCGGCTCCCACCTTCAAAAAAGTTTATGAATTGGCTTGAAAGTGATGTCGCTCGGTTCAGTAAGAGCGAAAACGAATATCTACCAAATTTCACCAAAAAATATTCACCGGTTTTCAAGATATTAGACGTTTACTTTTGTTAATTTTTGGGATCTCCGCTGTTCCTAGCGACTTTATTTGAAAGCAATAGTTTGGCAGCTGAAAGGGCGTCACTTGTTGCGCGCAAAGTAGCATATACCACCGCGTGCTACAAAACGTTTTTGTCAAACATTTAAATTCGTTAGATATCTGCACTGACGTCACACATTCAGAGGGGTATTCCTATGCTCTGAATCAAAATGCTGCAATTTTGACATTCAATATTTCCGATTTAAGGCATTTCTCGATGTTGTGAGTGCCGAAACCGGTAATTGTGAGCCAGGGACCCCATTTTGGCTATCTCAGCTCAAATCTAATGTTAACCCGCGCACCGACGCGACGGGGGGGGGGCGGATATCCGCCCCCCTGAGGTTTTTCGCGAATAGCGGGAAAACCGCGGCGCGTAGCGCCGCGAAATTTGGTACGAAAAGTGGCACGAAATTTTGGTGCGAAGTTGGCGCAGACCCCCGTCGGTGCGCGGGTTAACCCGCGCACCGACGCGCCAACTTCGCATCGACGGGGGGGGGGGCGGATGACCGCCCCCCCCCCTGAGATCTCGAGAACGAAGCAAGATAGCGACAAGCGGTAGACGGCATCGGATACGCACGGTCAAGATCTACAATTTTTACAAAGGTTATTTATAGGTCAGGTCAAAGATGACGTCACAGGGGTCGAAAAAGTCCAAATGGCGGCGCTAGATATGGAGAGAGTTTTTCTCGAATAACTTTCGAATTAGTCAAGATAGGAACAAACTAAGGGCATCATCGTGATCCTCCCGTCAATCCGCATCGAATGATATATATGTTGACCTCGAAAGGTCAAGGTCAAAGGTTGACCTCAGGTCACGTGACCTCGAGGTCATCATGTACATCAGTCGATGCGTCTTGACGAGCTGAACACAATGAGACCATCTGCGCGGCTGTATCTTGTTCCTGTACGGAGTTATTTGCCAAAAACCTTTGGTTAA